TTCAATTAGACGCTAAAACAATGTTTTTTTTCCCTGTTGAAATTGATACATAGAATTAAATGGGTTTTTTAGTTCTCAATAAATATCTATTTATATGAAGGGATTCACATAAATCGGACAACTAGGTCAATACATCAAAACAGTTCTGTGATGGAAATAAAATTTATTAGCTCAGGTTATTTACAATTTAATCAAATGAGTTAAATGAATGATACTACACTGGTTATCATAAATTAAGGAAAATTCACAAAAATCGCGATAACTCAAGAAATTACACATGGAATTTTATGAAACTTACCCACAATATACAACACATAGTAAGGTATTAAACAACATAAAAAGAAATTATCAGACATTAATAGTAGTATAGAAATTAGCACATGTNAAATTACTTTCTCCTACTAGAAAATACATTCAATTAGACGCTTAAACAATGTTTTTTTTTCCTGTTAAAATAGATACATAGAATTAAATGGATTTTTTAGTTCTCAATAAATGTCTATCTATATGAAGGGATTCACATAAATCTGACAACTAGGTCAATACATCAAAACAGTTCCGTGCCATAAATAAAATTTTTTAACTCGGGTTATTTATAATTTAATAAAACGATTTACATAAATTATATTATTAGATTAATTAAGACACATTTTAGAGAAAAGAATTTTTGGATTTCTCAATTAAAAAAAAGTTATCGGAGCTATTGCTTTAGATCTTTTAATAGGTATGAAAAAAAAACGAATTTTTTTAGCGCGTCGATTTAGTGGACATTTCGAATATAAAATAAAATTGTTTTGAATGAGCCGTGATGGTTCAGGGGATAGAGCATTTACCTTCCGATTTCCGCATCCGGCTTGCTGACGTGAAATATCCTCAGTGGTAGACGGATCATGGGTTAGAGTCCCCTTGCCATCAGGCTAACTGTGGGAGGTTCTCTTGGTCTTCCTCTCCATGTAACGTAAATTTGGGTTAGTTCCACCAAAATGTCCTCGACGAAGGCAAATTTCTTCCAATACTTGATCCAGGAGTTCCCTTGTCTTTCGGATTGGGTTCAAAATTACAAGGCTACGGAGTTGAACATTAGTAGTCGTAAACCCAAATATTGGGTCCGCTGTTCAACAACGGTTATAAAATTATAAAATATAAAACCCATTTTGTAAAAATAATTTTAACAACATAAAATATCTCTTAAAAAATTTACAACCTGTAGAAGTTTGCTGAAAAGGAAGACATTTTACCACTAGAAAAAGTCTAGGAAAATTGTAAACAACGGTAGTCCGATTAAAAAAGCTTTTTATTAAATTTTCATCATTTTGGGAGATGACTCTGCATTTTTGAAGGAGACATCAAAAAATTGGGTGGAGTGGAAAGGCTTAACGGATCGTCAAAAAGGGTATTCATCAGAAAACAAAAACAGTTGCAGAACTCTGTGGCCATTAAAAAGAATAACCAGCACCCACTCGGAATGGTCCATATTTCTTCACGAGGCTCATCAGACCATCAAAAGTGTATCCATCAAGAACAAAATATGTCGCAGGATTCTTTCTTTTTTTTTAAAAAAATTTCCAATGAGCTGCACAATCGGTCTTGCCTATGAGTAGACCTAGTGCGGTCACCAGAGGTGGTATCCACTCTTTCAGGACCACCACAATGGGTGAGATACCGTTGGTCATGTTAATTTGGACGTCTAGTTTCTGCCACACTAGATGGCAGCACCGAGACTCTAGTTGGATGATAAAGTGCACTAGGATTTTAATTTTGCCGGAAATGCCTAGAGCCAATAAGGCACTCCAGGGATCTTTTACATGCCGCATAATCATACGACATGGCCACTGAGGGTTTTCTGCTTCCCGAAAATCCGGTGTCTGGGTCGGGAATCGAACCCGCAGACTTTAGCTCAGAAGGCCGACGACAAACCAACTGCGCCACCCACGTCACAGGATTCAGTAGATATTGAACTGAATAACGTGGGGAAGCTTATACCCCTTTTGGATGGCTAATTATTCATCAAGCATAAGGAGACTGAGGCTACATGTTGAAGATTACAATTACAAGGCACTTGGGATGAAATGGCATCTTTGGCGGCATTTTGAGGGAAAAAAAAGGTTGATAAATTTAGTTCAAACTCATTCTCGGTCGATGTGGTGAACGTGTTCTTTCGGGAATGTCTCGGTAATTATACAGGGGCTTATTTTTTCCAGAAATTTGAAGTTTTTATCGGGCCTATTTTCACCCACATAAATTTACAAATAGATTTTGGTTTTTGGAAAAGTCAGAGAAGAAGCAAATTACAACTAAAACCAAAACAATGACGAAATCACACTTGTTGATCAAAGAGAGAGACTAACGGGTGCACGGTGACGGCCAGGCTAAAAATTTCAATGTGGTGCACTTAAAGAGGGAAAGTGTACAAATTGCAACTAGGTGTCCAGTTGCCACAAGTTCATGTTCGGTTTTTGTTGAAAGGTTTTATACAGGGTGGGCAGTCAAATCTTTCAACAAAAAATAAGCACCTTTTAAGTACTTTTAAGCACTCCAAAATATTTTTAAGCACTTTATGCATTAACAAAATACAAAATAATTTTCAAAGACTTGAGATGATCATGATAAAATAACTAGTTTCTGATAAAGAACTCTTTTCTTGATTATATTAGCCGTTACAAAATGATCGAGAGATTTTTCGGTTCTCGATATCAGAGGATGGAAAATGAAGTCTGAAATTGAGAATATTTTGCAAAATGCAGCAGAGTTGCACATGAGGAGGCAATAATCTCACCGAATCCAACTCAGTAGACTCATATACGGACTCGCAAGTATTTCATCAAACATGTAAAATGATTGGCGCTTTCATACGCTATGGAACGACGGTACGCCGAAATGAATTGTGAAAGCGTTGAATAGAACAATGTGAAAAGCACTCTTTTGCATAATACGTGGCGAAAATCGACATGGTAACGAAAAAAATCTCATTCTTGAAAAGGAGAAATTAAGCCATTTTTAAAAACACCCAATAAAGAAAGCACCTTTAAGGGTTTTTAAATAACGAAAATTGAAAATAAGCACCTTTAAAAAACGCTGCGTACCATGTTATAGTAATATACAATATAATGCATTATTATACAATTTAAATCTCCCCTAAATGCCCCATTTTATACTTGTTTATAATCCCAGCCAAAAATGGGGTAAAAATTGCATACAACAAAATCCTTGCTGTATGCATTGTTTATCTCTCTTTTGGTAGGCTCCATTTTACCTTTGACAAAACATTGATAGAACATTCGATATTAAACAAGGAAGAAAACAAACCAGTTTAAATAAAATTGCTTGATCACCGTGATGGTGATATTAAAAGAATTGTAATCAGCTTGTTCATAATATAAAACAGTAGTATAGGATGAAACATTAGGCGGAAGAGGGACCAAAAATCGTATTTTAGCTCGGATTTGACAAATAATTAACTGGATTTAATATTTTTACTGTCACCAATATTTACATCACCTCGATATTTGCTTCCTTAAATTTTGATAAAGTTATTCCCGGATTTAAATAGTATTCATTCGGAAAGTGCATAATTTACAGTCTTTAATGTGTATATTTTTTTTACTTCATTTTTTATATGTATTCTAAAATCCTGCAGTAAAGGCAGTCAGGGGTCTGTCCAGACATTTTGTGAAAGGTTGTTTTTCGTGAAATTGTGAAAAAATTACTCACATTCTTTCAACCAGGGTCCGCTTTTATGAATTTGTGCAAATAGGGTCCTTTTTTGTAAGAAAAAAACTTTTCAAGGAGTTTTTAAATTGTAAAGACATACAAGATTATGTTCAACACTGTAAAATTATAATTAAAAAAATTAAATTTTAAAAAATAAACAA